AAACGCCAGAGAGTGAATATGCAAATTAATAAGATCAGAAATGAAAAGGGGGACATAACCACAGACATGGAGGAAATTCAGAGAATCATTAGATCTTACTACAAAAGCCTGTATGCCACAAAACTGGAAAATGTAAAAGAAATGGACACTTTTTTAGATAAATACCATATACCAAAGTTAAACCAGGACTAGGTGAACAAATCTAGATAAATACCATATACCAAAGTTAAACCAGGACTAGGTGAACAATCTAAATAGACCTGTTAGTTGCAAAGAATTAGAAGCTGTTATCAAAAACCTCCCTACCAAACAAAGCCCAGGACCAGATGGTTTCAATGCGAAATTCTACCAGAACTTCCAAGAAGACCTAATACCTATACTCCTTAATGTATTTCACAATATAGAAACAGAAGAGTCATTGCCAAATTCCTTTTATGAAGCCACAGTTACTGTGATACCAAAACCACACAAAGGCTTTCTGTGTCTTTACACTTACTTTTGGATTTCCTCATGGCAGTCATTTATGATAATCAGGAATCTTTTCATTATTCTCTACAAAAATGAAGTTATGTTTTTTTTTCTAGGTGTAAGCCATTATAGATTGATGAACCGTGTGTCACTAATTCTTCAAGACCATGGCCATAATGTGACCAATCTGTTTTATGAAAAGATGTCCATCCCAGATACTTTTAAAATCAATCTTCATATTAAATTACTTTAAATAGTAAATACTAACTTTTGATAAAAGTTGTATATTTGGTACTAATTAAATATAAATCTAAGTTAGTGACCTCATCATATCTGCCCTGCCTGCTTTTTTAACTAACCACCACAACAAAGAAGAAATGGCCTACTACACAGTTTAAAGAGTATCTGGTCAGTCAGAACACGTATATAAGCATGTCCTGGTCTGATTATTTGTAGCAAATCACTGAGGATCCCTGATGTTATCGAATTGGTCCCACAAAAACAGAAACACCATCTAACTTGAGACATTTGCCTAGTAAAATGTGGGCTAGACAGGTATTGATATGTTGTTCAGTTGTTACAGTACTTGCCTAGTGTATACAAATTCTATATTTGATCACAAGGACCACACATACAAAAAAATATGTGGCACACACTTATTATCTCAGAACTCAGAAAGTAGAGAAAGGAGGAACAGAAATCAATATGATTATTTACCATAAAGCAGTTTTGAAGCCTGCTTGGGATACATGAGAACCTTTCTCTAGATGATAGATAGATAGATAGATAGATAGATAGATAGATAGATAGATGACTGATAGATATATAGTTGATAGATAAATAGACAGATGACAGAGAGACAGCCTAACAGATGGATTGACAGACACAAAGACAAATAGACAGAAAAGTGGATGGATAGATAGATGATAGATAGATAGATATAAAGAAATAGATGAATTTACAGGTAGTGTTGAAATATGGCCAAAAGAATAAAGCATAGTGAAAAATGCTTTGGGCAACTTTGAGAGAGGCAAGAGGCCTTTACCTCAAGTGCATTTTGTTCTCTGGATTTTGGTTGGATATGATTGCCTGCCTCCTGTGATAAACATTTAATAGGACATGGTTATTTTTGATGGGTATCAGAACATAGCTATAGAACACAATAAGCTGGAAGGATAACTTAGTGCTGTCCTCATTGTGCCCTGATCAGGATATGGTCTTCTGTCTTGATTCCGTGCTTTCCCAGATATAATCTACAGTACATTCTTAAACTGCTCTATCCTGAGAAAATTCTGGGAAAGGGCTGCTCTGTTAATATTTTGTAAGTGCTTACTGGCATTTATTTACCAACCTTAAACTGAAACATCTTACTGAAACATTTAAACATTATTTTTTTTTCTCTAGATTGTAA